CATCACTTAAATAAAGAAGACATAAGTGTCCAACAGTTGTAATCCCTAAGGGGGGAAATTTCCCGCTCAAAAGTTAAATGGGGTGATAAGACAGATTGTCTCTTCTTCCCAGATAGTTAGGTTTACAAGTGTCCAACTTTATATAGCCAAGATAATATGGTTTTCGGGATAAATATGTTCTTTCTCTACGATTACCTTTTCTAACATAACCAATAGAAAAGGTTATGGATGGCTTACTATCTGTATTATTAGATAAAATTAAAATAACTTTCTATATTTTTTGTAATATTAGTTATGATGCATAAATACTAAGGGATTATTATATAAGTATAAAATTTAAATAATTTGTTATTTTCCCTATGATTAAAGTCTCTAACTTACTAAATATTCAAGGGTCATGGATGGATTACTAGATTTATTTTTAGATATTAGTACATAATTTACCCTTAATTATTGGGGTGATATGTAATAGTGATCTTGTTAATTAATTACCCTATCCAATAATATGTAGCCAATATGTCCTGTCTGATAGGATTTTAACAAGTTATATGGATAATAACAACTTACATAATCATTAAAAATGCCATCCCTTTAATAAACATAGTTTAACAAAAAGTTTAACAAAAGCAATCACTTAATACATAAGTTGATTTAAGGGAGACAGAATTAAAGATATTACATCAGAGTACATCCTTACAAAAAGTTTAACAAAATCATTCACCAATCATCATAAGGGAGACATGAATATTATTTGTAGGTTTTGGATAAGTTAATCGACCACCATTTTGATATCTTTCACTTCTTCAATATCTGGCTCCGAATAAACTTTCGATATAGGCCCATGGCTAACAATCCTCACACTTTCCGGCCTTGCTGCATACCTATCAATCCTCCACCAAGCTAGAGCAAGAATAATATTCGTATGACCAAATCTGCGGTAGTTACTGTCAAAGTCTAGGGCGGTTTGACCAGTTGCCTCACATCTCATTACTACCTGGCTGAAATGGGAAAAAATCTCATGTTAACATATGAAATATGAAATTATGAAATAAATCCTAACACATATATATTTATTGTATAATTACTTCCTATCCATGAGCTTGAAAGGAATTCTGTATCCATTGATATCAGCACGATCCGGTGCGTTATTGGTCAGGCTACCAACATATACGACAGCACCAATTATATCTGAAATATACAAAGATGAAAATGATGGGTAATGCGTACCCTTAAACATATGTGAAGAGTACGTTTTTAAAGGGAATTCGAATTACCAATCAATGTATTTGTTGGGACAGTGTCCTCAACAATGTAGTCGAAAGGTGTGAAATTATTAAAGAGGACAGTTTCTCTAGGATCAGCAGATGTGACACATGTTTCATCGACGAACCATATCCCATAAGTATGGGAGGTCGCTCTAACCTTTTCCGAGTTAGGGCGAACACGGAATGTTGTTATGGTTTTCCACTGATTCTCTTTGATTTTATCAAAGTAAAATTTTGAAAAACACCGATCGATTGTTGCCTCAATTTGGGTGCCCTTTAATAAACAATTGTGAATTGCATGTTAAGAAATTATAATAAATTGAGAGATAATATTACACAATACATAGTAGATAACTTACCGATGTATCGACCAACACCAAGCGAAGTTGGAACGAGGATTGATTGATCCATTTCTTGTAAACCCTAAGAACCATGACACAGATCGTCCATCCCGTTATCACAGGTGACAACTCGTAAAGACTGTGATAATGAACCATATCGAATTGCAAAACCTAAATCCCTAGTTCTTCGAAATGGTGGAGACAGAAAGTGTTTTTTTTTTTTTTTGTAAAGTCTATCTCTGGCGAGATGAAGGGGTAATAAATAGGAATATGGAAGGTCAAAGAGTTTGAAGTCTAAAAGGCAAGAATATAGTTGGTTGTATGAACAGTCACTTGTAGTTTAAAGATATTCAATGAACTAAAAAAGGCAATGAATACGAAAAAGCCAAAAATAAGGATATTTTTAAAATAAATGCAATGGTTAATTTTCATCATCAATAAACCGTTGCGTCTATAGAGACGATTGTGGTTTGGATAAAGACAAAATGAATGCATAATTCCTTCCGTGTGAAATTAAAAGGTGAAATTAAAAGGTGACATTCGTGGACTGTATTCTTTGGACAAAGGGTATACTTTTAGTTATATCTAACGGAAGGAATTATGCATTCAAAAACAAAAACTTATTATTGATTCAAGTTTCAATATAGGTAATTATACCGTAGTCTATAATTAGTAAATAAATATAAATATATTAAATACACTAAACCAAATTTAACTAACCCTAAGTACTTTATTAAACCAGATGGACAATATACTTTGGCTATATCGATTTGGACACGTTATTAACAATCTAGCTAATTAGGTCAACTCATATGTTAAATCTGCCCATCTAAAATTTGTGCGGGAAATTTCCCCCCATAATGATTTCTACTTTTCACTGTTAACTCTTCTTTAGTAATAGATTGGGTTTTACATTAGTTACTGGGATAATTAACAAGTACACATAAAACCATTTTTGAGACTTTAACCATGTTGTACAAAACATGGACTTTAATAAGAACTACAGAATTATATCCGAGATTTGCCGTAATTAATGTTCTCGGACGATGGACAGATAATCGATGGATAACACATTATCCAGACGTTGTCTGAAGAGTGGAGCAATTAAGAAATACAACATTAATCAGAAAGAGGCCTATTATTCCATCCTCCCATTACAGAAAAACAAAATACAGAACCTTACATTTTAATTTCAAAGATTGGGACAGATAGTAAAGTAGCACCTAGGAGTCCCCACCCTCCTTTGTTTCCTAGGAGGAACCCAGTAAGCACCATCTATTTGAAACCATCCGCCATCCTCTCCATATGACTCAGCCCATAATCCTGGTCTATAGCATTCTTCAACCAAGTTCTCATATGCTATCCCTTTATTCCTTTCGGCAGTCATAGCATAGCGATTGTTTGCTAGAAGACATTTACTATAAAAACGATAATAGATTGAATGTGGCATCGACCACCACATGAAATTCCGAGATCGGTCAAGCCGGACAGAATGAAGAGTTTCCAGTGAGTAGACAGCGGGCATGTGGAAAGTTGGGATTGTATTATCCTAGGAAATAGAATGATGAACTATAAAATTTGTATAAGTGGAAATCGCCAGAAATAATTATTAGTTTCTATTAGGTGAAGCTAAATTACCTTTTTCTCATCAATACCGGATGGTGGTTCATAGCTATGGAGGTGTGTTAGATTGATCATTTTGTGTTGTGTTGATTTGACTCCAACGAAATAAATTATAATTATATATATAGAAAAATCAATATAATATTGAGATAGACTTACGACGTTGAAATCGGAAATGGAGGGAAATTTACCGCTCTTATGTCTTAACCTAATTATGTTGACTAATTTTGTCCAATGTGTAGAAAGATATTTTTAAATTCTAGCCATTTGGTTAAGACTTAATGGATTACTAATCATATATTTCTATTTATCCCCAATTTATAAGAAATAATACATAAAATTACGATTATACAAAGTTGGTATGGATATTAATTATCTACAAATACAATTTTGATTATAATTATACAAACAACATAATTTATTTAAAAAGTTTGTCTTTTTAAAAGTCGTAGAGATGTCCAAAAATAAGTATCCATATCACACAACATATTAGAAATCCACGTTTAAAAATACTAGAAATCCACGTTTAAAAATATTTATATTTAAACGGCGTCGCATATAATCAAACCTCCCCCATAAACGATAATCCGGAGCTTTTATTTTAGATATTTTTTCCATATAGATTCTGATATTCCGGAGTAGGAAACACGATGTCGTCAAGCGAAAGTGGAGGTGAGTAATCTATAATTTAAATGGTAAAAATTCTGGAAAAAGCTATTATCGAGATAAATGATGATATCTTTTTGATCTGGTGAAGGAGTGAGCAACCGGTCCTCTCACACCGTGAGTGGAATCCCTCGGCAATGTACATGTGGCCAATTATCTGTGATGAAGACTTCAAAGACCCCGAAAAATCCTGGTAGACTCTTTCATTGTTGTCCTTACGGATCGGAGGAGGTAAGCAGATAAGCAACATAAGTAGGAAAAGCTGATTTGATTAAAATTTCGTTTAACATTTGATTAAAATTGGAGTTAACATTTGATTAAAATTTCGTTTTGCCCAATTTAGAGTAAGAATCATTTGTTTAAGTGGACCGACATATCCATGGTTGAAGAGATGGAAAGTGTTGAAAGGGTGGTTAAGACTCTGGAAGAAGACTTGGAAGTGATAGAGAAGAAATTCAAAGAATTTGAAGAATTTAAGGAACAAACCCAGAAAGAGATTGAAGGTCTTAAGTGTGGACTGTTGCTATGTGGGAAAGATAGAGAAGATATTTGTGTGAAGAACAAAGTATTTATCTTTGGTGGTTTAATCGTGGCTGTCGGATTCTATGTATTATTCAGTTGAGAGTAGAGTTAGTAGATTTCATTATGAAATGTAATGTATGTGTGGGACTACTTATTCTATGAATTATGTTTCCATTATGTTTCATCCGACTCAAGTAATCCTTTTTGTTAAGACTCAGTTCTTGTGAAGAACTGGTAACGGATAATAGATAAGAATAATGTTAGTATAGAGTCCTAAAACGACTGTAACAATGGATTAATTAATATGGATGGCAAGATAGGATGTAGACAAAATGAAATACAGAGAAAATAATAGTTTGGGTACAGAGTACATAATACAGAAAAACATAGTAGGCGCCAGTATCCACAGGAATATAGTAGGAAAGAAAGGAAATGATGGTTACGACTACAAACAGAAACTTGGGAAACATGTAGACACTAGGCCGCAAAGTCAGATGCATAAACAGGACAGACCAAATGCTCATAAATGTCCATTGCATATTGACGCCTGAAAGAGTCAACGTGTTTGTCAGTGATTTTCTCCATTTGGTCTGGGAGTTTATCACTTGCCATTATCTCAAGAAATTTCATAGCAACGGGGCCACAGTCACCAGATCTAACATTCTTGTATACACCATGTATTCGCCTCCACAGGAAAGGTTTTAGTCCATGGTTCTGGGAACATGCGGGCTTACAGTACCTCTGGATGAGGTGTGGCAAAAGGGTAACCACAGGCTCGATAAATTCTTTAACTTTTTCCTCCGGATTGAGGTCAGTATTTGGGTCGAGAATTTCAACTTCCCAGACTCCTAGATTGATTGAAAGGCCTACCCAGTGGGAAGAATTCCAGATCATAGGTACATAAATGGTATCAATGTCTGTGAACCACTCGGTGGTGGGGCCAACGATAAAGCGTTTCATGGGATCGGACCAGCGGACGCGAGATTTGATTTTTGCTGCTTTGAAAGATTTGTATTTTCCTTGTAAATGGTTAGCAAACCATGGTTCAACAAAAGCAGCACGCTGTGTGGCAAGTCTTGTTGCAAGCCTACTAGAAAGTAACTCCACTAAAACCTCCATGTGCTGTGGAAAGAAAGAATAATATATTAATATCTCTGAGTACTAGCTAAATACAGAACAATGAGTTGAAAATAAAATATAGTTACCAGAGTTGAAACCCAATTTTGAGGTTTTGCAAGCTTGAGGAGGAATGAGTTGGGAAATAGGAATCCAGAATCCGTAACATGTTCCCTGAGAGGAGTAACAAGGATAGTTTAGGTGCCTTAATGACCACATGTGAGGATTTAAGAAAAAAATTACAGTGTATGCATACGTATTAGGAGCTGATGAAAGGGTGTCCAAAAAATGGGCATAATCTGCCTTTTTTAGGAGTGGTAAAAGTTGGTATGCCTCCATTTTTGGTTTTGATAAAAACTCAGCTACAAGAAAAGACTCAGCTTCCGAAAGAATAGGTTTTTCTCTCGATCGTGCTGGTGATGAATCTGAAACATCAACTAAATCCTCTTCTATAGGGTCAGATGTGTTAGACAGTTGCGAGTTATTATCCTGGAAGATAAAATAAAATAAGCAATCATAATATTGTTAGATTAAAAAGACCAAAGTAGGAGGAAACAAAATAGAAAATACATATGAAAGACTAACAATAGAATCTTCTTTGTCCTGAAGATAAAGGAGAAATCGAAATTTAAAAGTCAATATCAATATAAACTTGTTTTATTTATAAAAGGATAAAATTATAAGTAAACCTGATTATCCACAATGTTTTGTCCATCAATGTTTTCCCTTAAGAAGAGTTTACCCTGAACCAATATGGAAAACATTGTAAAGTTAATGGGATTAGATGGTAAAAAGTAAAGAATGACTGAAATAGTTCATAGGCAGAGATAATATGTCCATACATCAGTTGGGGATGATTGGTTGTTTATCTCTGATTTGGATGTGGTATCAAAAACAGGATCCCCCACAAATACCAATGCCTACAAACAGAAATAATAAAAATGAAGAAGGCATTTATACGGCGACCTCTATAATAAGGGTATGAGAATTTTTAAGGTAGACCATATTTAAATTTGCTTGAGAAATTAATGTATCAGGGGTATGAACAATCTTTACGTGGTCCTGTGAGTATAAGTAGAAATACACATAAGAATTTGGGAATTGGTATACAAAAAACTTTAAATACACGTTATAAAATACTGGCAAAGTTTAGGAGAAGAGAAGACCTGCAGTGGATTATCTTCAGAGATTTGTTGCATAGGTGTATCAATCATTTTCTGAGATGCAATAACACTAACCAATGTTTCCTGAGTGTATTAGCAAAGGAAAATGGTCAAATAGATAAGTTAAAACAATTATCCATTAATTCCTGACCATTATAACAAGACACACTCGGAAACTACTAGCTGTTTTTGAAGGTATACCTTTATTGTGACATCTTCAGCAAATACCAAAGGCTGCAAACAACAAATAAATCAAATAACTATCAATATTATAGTGGTATATATTATAATGAGCAGTTTTGGAAACACACAAAAGACCAATTGGACTGCAAAAAGGAATAATGAAAAAAAATACGGGACCTTCAGTGGATTATCTTCATCCATTGGTTCAACACGTGTATCTATAACATATTCAGACACAGGGAGAGTAGCCAATGTTTCCTGATATAATTTAAAAAATTGTAAGAGATTTATTTGGAAATTATGGTATGTGTTCACATTATATAGTTTATAAAAGTGACCAAAAATTCCTGTCCATCATATCAAGAAACAGATGGTAACTATGATATATTGTTTGAAGGTAGACCTTAAGAGGGTTATATGCAGCTTTGGGTTGCCTGGAGGTATCTACCACAGACTGAGGTGAAAATAATCTATAGAATTCATCCTTGGAGTTGAAATTTAAAGATAATGGTTAGAATACACATATCAACTATGTTCGGTTGCACAAATTATCGGGCATGTAGTCCTAATATAGAATGCAGTTTATGATAAGATTTGATGGCAGTTAGGTTGTAGTACCTCAAATTGGTTTTGAAGCTTCGTTGTAAGAGGTTGAATAATGTCAGCAGCCATTGGAGATTTGATGGCAGTTAGGTTGTCACTTTTATCGAAACTGGGATCATAATCAATGTGCTTAACCTGTAAGAATAGTTAGGTTGAACTGTTAAACAAGAGAGGAAAAAAACTGGAATGGTCGCGTTTAATACTAACCACACATGTATATGTGTGCAATTATACCTTGGAGCAAGATGGATTGTATTCGTTACCCTCGAGAGCAGAAGGGGTATTCAAACAAAGGGAATCTTTGTTGGCAGTGTCATAAATGGGATTTCCTTGATGTGTATCAGGCTTATTAGGCTCTTCTGATGGGAGTGGGGTAATCAAGACATCCATGGGGTCATCACCAAGCACCTGATTGTCATATGTGAAGCAATGATTAATTAAAGGGTAAGTTTAAAGAGTAGCAATAAACCAGAACACATACCGGGGTTTTAAATGTCGTTCTTTCAATGGAGTCCTCGACAAAACCATCAACCACATCATGGATGCCCAACTGGCCAAATACCTCCCGGTATTGTTTCCAGTTGTGCTGAACTCCATCACCAACCAATATATCTTCAGGAGATTGAGGTGGGACATCCGATGTATCGAAATTCTTGTTGGATTGTGGCTGTTTAGAAAGGTAAAAAATGTTTAATATTATATAGATATTGTTACACAATAAGTAGGAAACAAAAAATATAAAACAGTCATACCTCCATATCCAAATCAGTGTTTGTTTGCTCGATCCCGGAGTTATATTCGGACTGATTGGTGTAGCCTTCATTATTGTTTGCCATAGGCAAATCATTGTCTGATTGTGATCCCAAATTGTCAGCATTGACTTTGGTTGCGCAGGGATCCTGTAATGTTAAACCACTTTTTATATTAATATTATAGTTATAGTCATAGCTATGTGAGTGGTAGAAGCTATAAACCTCCATAAGAAAGCCTTCATGTATGTGTGGGTTTGATAAAAATTCATTGCTTGATCGATCATTCTGGTAAGAAATAGAAGTTGTTTCCATAAGGTGAGGGGCAAACAGTGTCATTCAAGGAAGGGGTAAGATAAATACCTCATTGGACATATCATCCGGAGTGGTCTGAGATTTAACAGGAACTTTAGCTTGCGTCATGCGCCTGGATCTGGAGGCATATTGACCAGATCTAGAAGAGAGTTTTCTAGAGCGCTTGAATATGATTGCCTTATTTATTTTTTCTAGCTTCAATACACGCTTTGATAGCTCTGCCACTTGGTTTTTCAGTTCCACCATTAAAGAAGAATTCTCATCATCACATAGAGTTAGAGAAGACCGGCTACGGGTAGCATAGCGATGCTTTGATTTTGGAGACTGAGACTTCACACGTAGTGGCGTGTTAGATTTCTTCTGCCCTGGTTTCTTTTTACGCTCGACAATGTGCCTTTTATGAACAACTGCGACTTTCTCTTTTGGGAAAGAAATGAATGGTAATGAGTCATCACCTCCTGGCCATTCAGATTTATTGAATTTATTTGATCTGAGTATCAGTTCCGACATATAAGCTACTTTCTTGTCTTTCACCTCATCATCCCACTCCCCCCAAGATTTGTCAACATTTTGTCCAAGAATAATGTAAGGATCCACTTTGTCCTGACCAAACAGAAGGGTAAATTGAGTAACAAAGAGGGAATGTAAAGATGAAAATACCTAGGTTGGAAACTTATACCTTCAGGTGGTGCTCAAGAGCGTGTATTTGTGAAAGAGAAATTAATTGTTTTGGCAGAGAGACTTTATTCCAGTGTTGGATAGTCATTGAGGTGGAATCATCAGTGACCAAATCAACCATGCCAGGAATGTTTCTAAATGCTAGGAGTTGCAACGCAAGCGGAAAACCTTTCAGACGGAATGTGATCTGCTGAAGTTGTTTGGCGAAATTCTTCACAGGATCAGTTGACACCAATTTTTTCCCAGTGCCTGATGGTACAATACGTTTCCCGGGTCTCATGGATGCTATTGTCTTCATAAATGACTCTCTACCCCAAGGGAAGGCAAGGAACGCTTCAATATCTGCCAACATCTCAACATATTTAAATGTGGGCCTCCCAGTTTGGTTTGAGGATATGAGGACACCATCAACAATGAGGAGATACGCAAGCTTAACTCTGTGTTCAGGAGACAAGGGTTTTTTGGGTTTGAGGAGCATTTCAGATACATCACCTAAGGTTGCGTCCTTATCTTTCCCTATTAACTCGTTCCAGTAACAATCCTGCCCTTCAACATAAGTTGGCTCACTTTCTGGATCATAGTCCTCTAGAAATTCACCGCAGGGCAAACCAGTTAAAGCACCAAATTCAATTAGGGAAAATCTAAGGGGTTGTCCACCAAACACAGTCCATAATTCATACTTCTGTTTGGTTATCAACTGCCTACATAGCAAAGAATGTATCAGCTTGCAAGAACTAGGGCTTCTACTTACCGGCAAGTCGAAGAGAGGACCGAAGCAAGATTGCAGAATAGTGTCGAATTCCGGTGTCCCATGGAAAATAGACCGGATAAACGAAAGAATGTCGGGTTTACAATAGACATTTAGCCTCGCTTTGGGATAACGATCAGTGGCGAAAAGTCGAGTGGGAAGATTTAAATCCCATTCTGAAGAAGCTTGCTTTGAAGTCGAGGCTGCAGTTGGTTTTTGAACTGGTTAATTGCATAAATTAGTTATGAGAACATGAGCATTGGGTTCAATAATTACCTTCCATTAGGGAGATGCGTGGAGTTTCTGATGTACAGCACTACGAAAGCGATGAAGTAGGGAAACCGTGCGACGGCGGTGAGTTGACGAGAGAGCGTAAATGGCCGGAGAGCTGACGGAAACCAAGGAAATGGCGGGTCAGATTTGAGCTTTAAACGGGAGAATCAAGAAACGGTAAAGAAGTTGGGAGAAGAAATTAGGGTTTTTTACAGTGGGGGAAAAGCGTAATAAGTTTACAGTGGGGAGGATAGAGACAAAGGCAAACCAGGTTCGGTTTGTAGGAAGAGAAACGGAACCGGTTGTAGAACCGGATTGGAGGGTATAATGGAGATTTGGCAAAGAGAGAGTGCCTTCTCCCTTGAAAGTGCCTAAAGGCACAAATAAGTCCCACAAAGTGCCTTATTATGCAATAATTCCTACTATTAATTATTGTAAAGTTGGAATAATATAAGGAAAAAGTAAGAGAAATTGACAAAAGATAATAAATGGGATTGCTTGGAGTCGTGGCAATGTTTTTGGTTGCACACTGCACAGAGCACAAAGTTTCATAACAGAGGTAATTGTTGCATGTGGCCCCTTCTTCCTAAAGCTCCTTTCTTAACTCTTTTGTCTCTTAAATTTTTCACTTTTTTCTTCTTTATTCAAATTGTGGATATTCTCATTCATGACCATTAATGTTTTCTACTCCACAAAAAAATCTTATTTGATTCCCCAACACAGAAGATGTATTACAAGATACAGTAATAAATAGAATGCATAAGTCAGCTTTAGAAGCCATGAAAAAACTTGGTCAATTCTTTAATAGTTTTAGTGAAAGTTACGTTACATTAAGTCTTTTTTTTGTTAGTCAACCATTGAAAAAATGTTTTTTAATAGAAAAGAAAAGTTACCCCATGTAAAAACAAAGTCTAAAGCCAACCAAAAACTAATAAAAAAGGATAAAATTTATTTAAAAGATCAAAAGTAAAGATAGACTACAGAACATTGTATAAAAAGAAATAAAAAACAAAAAACAAAAGACAAAAAAAACAGTAGAATTTTGTTAAAAAGTAAAAAAAAAAAAGTAGAAGAAGAAGAGTAGCTAAGCCCAACTTTATATTATTTTCACTTACCCTACACTATATTTTTGAAAACACCACTCTATGCTCAGAGACACACACAGTCCCTCACTACTCTCTATCTCTCAATCTCCTACAAGTAGACTTTAAGACAACTTTTGTCTCAGTGTTGAGTAATGTAAAATACCCATCTGGTCATTTAATAAACACAATCTCTTTCTCTCTCTCATTCTCTATTTAGATTACTTAAAGCAGAGAGATCCAAACATCATCAATCAAACACATTCACCAACTACTACAATGGACTACGTAAGCTCCTTCCTCTTTCTTCTTCTTCTATAACTTTTTTTGAAGCTTCTTTTGTAACTGTTTTTGGTTTTTTCCAATCAGGAATACGGAGGAGGAGAGTACTGTCGGAGAGGACATGTACCAGCTTTTGGAAGCTGGGATTGGAACGACGCCGTTCCATTCACTCAATGTTTCGAGACAGCAACAACTCAGCAACCTGCTTTTCTTCACTACGCTCCTTACCCTCAAGATCGTGATCTTTACCTCGCTGGAGATCTCTACGATAATCACCACCTTGTAGCTCCTGCCGTCATCATCGTCCCTCGTCGCCGGGTACTTTCTTGATTCATGTTTCTTGATTCGTGTTTCTTGATTTAGTCTTATGTTGTTCGAAAATGTTTTTTTCTAGGCTAAGGTGGGTCAAGAACCGGTGGAGAAGAAGAGAAATGTCTCCAAGGAGCAACACAACTACAAGACGGAGGCGCGTGAGTTTAACGCGCCGGTAAGCTGTCCGACACCGGTGGTGAAGCGGAGGATGAAGGCACAAAAGCCTGTGGATGAGGACTTGTACAAAGTCTCCCCACAACTTCTCTCAGTCAAATCCAAAAGGGTAATTAAACATTTAATTTGTTTTTAATTAGTCTTATCTTTATTAAATTGCTTCGATTATTGTTTTGATTATGGAAAATGTTAATAATTGAAATTTGCAGAAAAGAGGAGGAGGTGGGTTTGGGTGCATTTCAAGGTGTTTTTTGCCAACACGGGTGCTTTGAAGCAACAAGCGTGAGAGACTTGAGTCAGAACAACACTTTGTTTTTTCTTTTTCTTTTTTTCTTTATCTAATCCTATTATATATATCAAAAGACTATGCTTGTGAGAGTATTATGTATGTATTTATTTATGCGTAGGGGAAAAAGAAGATGAATTCTAAAAGATACTAGACCAATGTAGCTTTTGGGGAAAAGCTTAGCCATATTTCGTATTAATTAAACTTAACAAATTGAGACTTGGTTTTGCAAATTCTGTATTATTATGTTGTTTTTGGCTCAAATCCTCTTAAAATGTACTATGTTTGGTAGTAGTAGGATTTGGTTAGATTAGGGATGGGAAAGGAGTTAAAGCTGAGGTAGGGGAATGTTGAATAGTATCTTAGCTTCTTCTTCTACTGAAAGTTTGACTTGTGACATAGCTACCTAACTTTTTTTCCGATTTGAAAAAGAAGTGATAATTATATGTAGAATTATTGAAAATGAAAATTAATGTGAGATTTTGGATAAGAGAATAATCATTGACTGGATTAATTGTTGAAATTTAGTTTGTCGAATAGTTACATTTACCAGTCAAAAGTTTGTGTAATGAATATTGATATATAGTTTTATACAAATTACTAGATAAGATGATGCCTTGTCATATTCAACTATAGTTAGCTGAGTTCTATCTTCTATGTATGAGGGACTTGATTTTTTTTTTTTTTGGGGTCAATTTTTAGTAACTAAGTAATGATAATTAAAAGGGTGATTTAGGTGAATAACCAAAAAATAAAGAAAAATTAGTTTTTTAGAAAGAAGGTAGAGAGAGATAGGAAGAGAAAGAGAGTGAATAGGGGGGTTAGAGGTTAGATATTTAATTTTGTTTTTTTTTAGGTTATCTAGTGCAATTTCCCTAATTAAAAAATGTTGGTAGGTTACTTATATATGAAAGTAATGTTTATTTAAACTTGTTTTTTATCAAATTTGAAATTGTAAGCTAATTGGACGTAGTATTGCTCGGATCCTAAATGATTACAAATTTAGATGAGCTATGAGTGCTTCTTCAGGATAATGGTCGATTTCTAGGAAAAAAATAAAAACAATTAACGTAAAATGTTGGCTGGTTTACTATATTAGAGGGATCATCAATATAAAGCTTTTGAGAATGCCGTTATGTTTTTGGTTTGGTAAGTCGGCTTTGCGTGAAACTGGATGTTGCCTTTGGTGATCCGATGACAATCTGTCTTCTAAGGTGGTGACAAACTAGCGGAAGTAAACTATTTATAAAAAATCTTAAAAATATTAGGAGATAGTGATTTATAAGAAAATTCTAAAAATCCTAAAATTTAAACATAAGTAATTTATCTATAAGAAAATCCTAACAGAGTAACAGAGATAAACCTAATTGCTATATTTATTAATAATAGTACTTAAATATAAATTCTTTTCATTGTATCCACCAAATTCATGTGGAATCTCCTTATGGATGGGATAACTTGAAAGTGAATCGGATCCTATACTAATATTTGGGAAGTACATCCTAAGAGTCATAACTTAGATTTTGTAAGAAATTACAATATATGCCATTCGAGATCTCTAATTATAATCATTTTATTCCATTTCACTAATATATATTAACGGATCAACGGGTCAAATGGGTTTAAAGATATCAAAATATTTTGTTTATATAATTCATATAATTCGAAAAACATTTCGAAAAAACAACACAATTCATATAATTCGAAATGTTATTGAAAATGTTATATAGTAATCCATTATTCAACACGTTTTCGAAAATGTTATTAAAAAATGTATTTATATATTGGCGAAAATTATTCTCACACATATTAAGTTACCAAAATTGAAATTCATATTAATACTAAATCTAAACTTAAATATTCAAATTCAAATTCCATATAATTTAACAAACAACAATCAAACAAGTTAACAAAATATATTTAGTTCCTAAAATATAGTATCATTAACTATTAAATCTTTATTTTGACGTAAATTCATATCCATGTAATTTCATTGGTTAATATTATAATAAACGTTTCCTTAATTATTGATATGATTATCACACGATAACTTGGATTTAGAAAACAATAAATATTTTCTGAAATCTAATTATTTTTTGAAATCTTAACATAAATATATTGCTTAGTTTACGCATATAGTACCAAAGCAATATAGATACTATCAAAATTATATCTTAACTATATATTCCCATCTTTTAAATTTTAGCATATTCCACAAATGTTGAATTAAAACTTTAATTTAAAAATATATTATTTTAGATTTCATTTTATCAAATCTAAAATTTCTACCGACTCTCTTATGCCTATAAATATAGTAATCCACTGAAGCACTTACATATCACTCAAACTTTCAGAGCAATTTTAAAGTATTTTGTTACGTTTCTCAAAACGATGAATTATTCAGCTACATGTACGTTAGAGAGACTATTGAATGATTTTTTTTCTATTGTATGAGTTTGCTTTTACTCACAAGGCGATTTTTCTAATCTATTAATTTAGCTGGATTTTTTAATTTTTTTTAGCTGAATTTGAATACCTTTTATTTTGTTTCTTCTCACATTTCTTGACTTGATGATTTGTTTCAGATCTACGTCCAAAGAGTCTCATCCAAAGTCTGATTCAATGAGCATGTGTATTGAGAAGGTTTTGTATGTTTCAAATATTTCTAATTCCTATCCACGTAATTTCATTGGTTAATATTATAATAAACGTTTTCTTAATTTTTGATATGATTATCTGCATACATTTAATATTATTTGGTTAATTATTATTTTAGGTATTATATATTGGCAACCAACGACTTTGAAGAAACAATGAAATAGTAAGGATTTTATGTCAAATATTTTTGCATGTTATGTAGTCTCTCTATATATGTTTTTTAAATAAAATATTATTAAATGTCAAATAACAAAATGATGTTTAGTTTCAGAGGAGTTATATGGTAGGACGGGTTTGGGTTGATATTAATATGGAACGGTATACCACGGGTAAAATCGTAGAACTAACAATCAAATACAATTATACAATCTTAAACACACTATAAAAAATAATATTAACAAAAAATTATAACTTAAAATTTAAACTTTTTAGTTACACATATATCGACATGTGGTGTACCATGGAGTAAAATCCAACTTTATTACAAATCAAATACAATCAATCATAAGATTATAAACAAAAAAAATTTCTTATCAAATATATACAACGCAAATAATCAAATTATAAAAAAAAACAAAAACAAAAATTTATTTATCTTGCGGGTCATATTCTATGATACTGGACCAAATACATTTGGCACTGAGAAAACAAAACCCAATATAGCCCACGTAAAAACTTTAACATAATACAACTATTTTTTTTTTCTCAATGACACAATGCAATTATGAATACCTAATTAAACCAAATAAATTGTTAATCTCATATAAACAAAAATACAATTCTAATGCAGCTAAAAACATTTTATATACAATACAATATTCTCTCTTTCTTTATTACCAAGTCATGTTTGTCAACCAAGTTAAGATTATACAACATTTAATTCCTATAATAAAATAATCCAATATGATATAGAATATAGATTTAAAATTTATTATTATATTAATATTTAGTTCTACAAACAAAATATACAACCGTCGTTAAATGAAATATACAATATTATATCCAAATAGTAATAAAAATAAAATATTATGTGCATCACTTTTATACTATACTATTATACTATATTATTACTTTTTTCTTCAAAAAAAATATACAATTTGATTCATACAAAATATTTAATCCCGTGCTTTATAGTACGGGTCATGATCTAGTTGATATATGAGAAGATACCTGAAGGTAAGGGTTCAAGAGATCTTCAAGTGATGCATTTTGAGAGGTTAGCGATGAACTTGGATCATCAATCTATGGGAACTTTTGGGAGATGTCAATGGGTAGGCACAACATGAGGTCAAATAATCTTTCTTCATAGGTGAAGACTGGAGACATATACTTCGATAAACACCGATGGTTGTAAGGTCATATGAGAAGTTACACATGTAGCCAAGCCTTTTACGGATGGGTTGATTTGGAAAAAGAAATCATTTATCAGTGAGTATTGAAAGGTAAATGCTCAATGAATCTTTATGTGATGCATTTTAAGGGATTTTCATGGGTTGGCGATGAAGTTAGATAACCGATTTTCAATAGTTTTTTTTGGGATTATCAAGGGTTGGCAAAGAACTTGGATCATCAATATATGGGGACTTTCCTGGACAAACAAAAGACAACACATTATTTTCCAACAAAAAGCTTTCTACCAAAACCAAAATACATGAAACCACTTAATATCCAAATGTTAGCCAGCTCATATGGTGATTGATGATCCCCTTCGCTTTTTTTTTTTCACTGCTGACACTTTTGTAACATTTAACAACGTTGTCGAAATCTCCTCCATTTCATTTCACTTTTTACTGTATACAGATGGTACTATGGTAGTTTTTTGGAGAGATATAGCCCAGCTACAAATCATTCTTTTTTGTTTTTTTTTTCCTTTTCATTTTTCTCCCGATTTTTTAACAACTTTTCTAGAGTACGCCTTCATAAAAGTAGTCGCATAATATTTTCTCAAATTGAGTTTCAACCGTTGACAAAAAAAAATGGAGTTTTATATAATAATATAACCAAATGACTTTAACGTTAAAGTATCACTTAAATGTTGGGCGTGACTCTTAAGTAAATTATGAAAGACCTATCTTTCTTTCTTATTACTTATTACGTTACAACTTATACAACGATTGAAAGTTCGGGTTTTAATTTTTTTTTTTATTAATTTCCTAACCAAATTATTTCGTCTTTTATCATCTTTTGTATAAAAAATGAAAAGAAAATACACGTTCAAATAAAGGGAAAAGTGTGTTTAACAAAAGAAGACAAAAGTGGTCGAATTATGGCAATCAAATGTCATTAAAGGAAACACCCACGCTTTAAAATTAGGGAAAGAGAACGGTAGCACTCTAAAGCACATTTAAAGCAACTAGATTGATCAAATTTAGT